ACTACAAACCTTCCTTAATCTCTTCTTGTACCTACCCCCTTAGAGTTGTGTAAATCAATGTGTAAATACAGGAATAAAGTCCCAGACCTCAAGGAATGTTGTGTGCACAACAGCATAGGTGCTGAGTGTGAATTTTGAAAACTAAGTCTCATCCCCATCTGCAACACCTTCTGACTTTGTAATATTAGACAAGTTACTGATACTAACTCATGCTCCTAATTTAGAAAATGGAGGTAATAATCTTTCTTCATTGGATTGTTGACTGCATTAATGAGGTAACAGTACTCAATAAATACTAGCTTCTGTTACTCCTACTTATTACTTCTTCAACAATAATCAAAGTAGGAGGTAAGATGAAAGCACAAAACAATAGTATATGGTAGAGTGTAAATTTGCATGTGACAGAATGACAAGACAGGTTATAGTAAACTCTAGAATTTCTTAAAGAAATTGTAGTTAGGAAGAGCTTAATAGAAGCATCGGAGACAGAAAGGTAAAGATTGAAGGTGAGAAGAGCACATTTCAAGCAGGGGGCACTCACACGGGCAACATCAGAGTTAGTCCAGGAAACACAGAGTGGATAAAAGAACTCAGGAGGCCAGCAAGAAAGGACAAAGATACTGATTTTCTCCACAACTCCCTTCTCTGCCTCCTGTTTACCCTCTGACTTACCTGCATAGCTTCTCCTGTACTATATATATTTCCAATGAGACCATTTTCTTTTTTCTCAGACAGAATCTTTTTTACCAGTGACTCTGTATGATTATTGATACTCTTTAAAGTCTCTTCGTCGTCTTTGATCTGCTCCTTTGTTAGTCTCCTTTTCACACAGGTCAGAGCCAGGACAGACAATGCACCGGTACCTGTCAGGAAACAAAACATCATCGACAGGGTGACCAACCATCCCAGTTTGTCCTGGACTGAGGGGTTCCCTGGGACGTGGGAGTTTCAGTGCTGAAAGAGGGACAGATCCAGAAAAACTGGGGTGGTTGGTCATGCTAATTATGATGGGAGAAAAGGATTGCAAGATTTACCAATCATCCTTTCAGTACTAACCACCCAAATATTTCAAGATACCTTTCCAAAGTTAAGTTACCATGAGACCTACACTCGGTACCTTATACCTGGGTCATAAAAAACACATATGGATTTGTAGGTGCATATATATGGACAGTCTTCCACTTTTACATCTTGGTTGCTCTCATCTTTTCTATATTTCTCCAAACTTTCAGCCATGTTGGGCAAAGGAATTGATAAAACCCAGGATAATACACCAAAAAAAAAAAAAAAAGTATGTCTTTGTAAGGCTCTGAAGGGTGCCATAGAGAATAGCACTTAACAGAATTGTTTCCCAACAGACCTCTTTAAGGAAGAGAACGAGGCAAGAGACTGGAAGAAGGGAACATAAGGGCTCCTTTTCTGGCTTGGTATTTGGTTCCCCATGTCTATCAGTGTGACGCCTTCCTTCTCTCGTAGGAGAAGGAGTATGAGAAATCTCGCATTCCCCTTACTATCCAGAAATACTGAATGGTGATTTGCTTTGAACCTCTTGGAGAAAGATGAGCTTGTGTATCTGGATCCGCAGGGGCCGAGTACCAGTAATAGCCGTCCAGGGGGGGACTTCTTTTTGGATGTTTAAGAAAACACAATGGGAAACTTTTTGTCCTTCTCCATTGTGAATACACACTTTATTGATCAAACTATTGAACCCTGTCACTGGAGAGGTTGTGTTGTTCAAGTTAACCCACATATTCAAAGTGTCCCAATAAATTAGAGAAAGAGGGAGTAGTTAGGGAGTAGTTATGCATTTTCTTTCTCTAACACGTACACTTCCTAGTATATTTTCTATGAAAATTCCCATGCTCTATTCTCATTTTACAGATGGGAAAACTAATGTCGAGGTCAAAAGTTAACCTCCATTGATTATATAACTCAAAGAGCTGGGGTAGGAACCAAAACTTTCTATAAGAAAAGACACACCTCTAGAAAGAGGCTTAAATGCCATCCATTCTTCTAAAAAAATAATTCTCTTCTGAGGGAACTAGGACAAAGGGGTTAAAAAAAAAAAAAAGATCCAAGAACTTACTGGTAGAAAACTCAAAGGGCAAGACCTGCTAGTGACCATGTTCTCTGTACCAAGGGAATTGGATTTAATGACTCACCTACTGAGAACTGGCCAGCAAGATAATAGTTTTTATTTTCAGGAGCAAACAGTTCAGCAACTTTGGCAGTTGAGTAATTCCCACTGAACAGACACAAAGCCAAAACATCCAAGCTGAGCTGGTAGTAGTCAGTCAGTGGATTGCCATCATGTGTTTCTGGCAGAGAGAAGAGAATAAATACCTTACTCATGGAAGTGGTACTGGAGTAATTCGTTTTCAATCTATTTTTATTTACTTTATTCCCATCTCTCTACATGTAAGGAGAGGTAAGTAATAGATGAAGGAGATCACCTATAGAATCAGCAAACCTGAGAAATTCAAAGGCTCTTAAGGGCCACCAAATTCAACTAAACTTTTTCCATTTTATAATGGAGGAGATCAAGCACTAAAGAGATTAAAATACTATTCAGTTATTCAGTGGTTACAGAGCTAGGATTAACACAGGCTTCCCAACCTCAAGCCTCTTGCACTTTCAAAAGTAATGCGCTGAGACTATAAGTAGAAGCATGGGTCAGAGGCCACTCAAAGGAAGATGAAATTGGAGGGACTTAATGAATAACAGGATAAATATTGGTTGGGAGTTGAAATAAGAACAATCGGCCTCACTTGAAGCCACCATAGTCAACTTATTTTTCCCAGTGGTAAAGTACTTGGTCATCTTTAGTTCTTATACTGGTATTAAATGCCGTGGTACTTATGACACAGTGTCCTGTATTGTTCAGCTATTTCTTTCTTTCTTTCTTTACTCTTTATTTATTCTATTTATGGAGAGGTTGACTAAGAATAGGCAGTGCTTTTATTGTTGAGCTATTTCTGGTGTAACTAATTATTTGTCTAAAAGCCAAACTCCTGGAAGACTAGAAAACTGTGGTGTGTGTGTGTGTGTGTGTAGGGAAAGTGAAGGAAGAATGGTCAGGGCCCCTCAGATGTTTAGAATCTTGCTGAGCATTTTATGTAAATAGGCACGTGCACCCAGGTGTCCCTTGATTATTGTCTAATTTAATTGTACATGTGCACCCAGGTGTCCTGGGTTGTGACTTAGGTATAAAAGATGAGTGGCTCTGAGCCATGGTGCCCCTCACCCCCCGGAATGCCCCCAGGGGGCCCACAGGGAGGCCGCTACTGCTGCAGAAGGCTGTTGCTGCAAGTGTTGCTGCCAGAGTCCCTGTTATGTCCCAAGAAGGCCACTGCCGCCACCACTGCTACTTCTGCTGCTACGGCTGCTGCTGAGGACTGAGCTCATGTCGTCTGCCAGTGGCTCCCAGGATCTTTCCCAATTACTTAGCATGGACCCGCGTGAGAGGGGTCTGGTAACCCATCCTAGCATGTGAGGGGTGCATGACTCAGTCTGTACAATGGGTTTGAAGGGTCTGAGCCCTAGCCCTGACAATACAAATGGAAACTTAGTATAACTAAAATAATGGAATGTTTTGGCTGTAGTTATGAAATGCCTAGCCATACAATTAGCGTAGCTATTGCCTCACTCTGACAACTGGCATAGTCGTGTAGCTTTACGGCGTGTCTGCCATCACATGTAAAGTAGTGCTTGACATTGGGTCATTGCCCACTTGAACATATTTAAAAAGAAATGTTCAAGATGCATGCTGAAAGAGGGATGAAAGGTAATTAGCAAATCCATCACCTCATTGTACCCCATAAATATGTACAATTATGCGTCAATTAAAACTAAAATAAAACTTAGAAAAGAGGGAAGAGAGCAAAGTGACCTGCAAAGATACAGTGAGATGAATGGGATGAAGAGAAGGAAAGAGTGGAGGGAAACTTCATGCAGTTCTGAATCAGAACTGGAGGAGAAGACAAGGTAGTTTAGGGTCTCTGAACATTTGGTTCTTACCCATATTTTTAATTTCTGCTTGGAATTTATTTTCTAGACGTCTGATCAGGTGATGATTATTTATAAAGGCTTCATCAGTGTTATTACACGCTCCCAAAGCCAGTATAATCAAGGCAAGCTGTCCTGAGCTTAAATCTGAGGCTGAAAAGGAAAGTATTCAAGTTTAACAAGGTATATGCTTGGGAGTTTTTTGGCCTCCTGTCTTCTTTTTGACTTATATCACTTGTCACTTCTTTCTTCTGTTCCACTCTATACTAATATTTTATTGTTCTCTCTTTATCCCAAAGGCAGAGCCTTTTACAGCAATACTATATAAATGCAAGCTAGATCTTAGTCTTTTCCATGAAACCATGGGATCTTTTTGGAATCATGCAATCCTTATAAAAATGAAAAAAAGAAGGAAAATAAATAACAAAACCTTGAGATTTTCTCTCTTTGTGGTGCCATCGATTTTTGTGTTCTGCCTTATAGAGTATCAAAACTATCCGGCTTCTCATAAATCTTTTTTTTTTTTTTTCCCTTTTTGTCTTTTTTCGTGACTGGTAACGGGATCGCAACCCTCGGTGTTGCGCCCACACCGCGCTCAGCCAGTGAGCGGACCAGTCTCTACATGGGATCCGAACCCTCGGCGGGAGCGCCGCCGCACTCCCAAGCGCCGCACTCTACTGAGTGCGCCACCGGGCCAGCCCCTACTCATAAATCTTAAAATAATATTACAGGATAGGTAAGGGTGGCTCCATTTCCCCTTTATACTAATTAGAAAACTAAGGCTCAGTATTGGTGTGACTGGCTCAAGGTTGACCCTGGACTAAAACCCAGTCCAAATCTCTATTGCTCCATGGTTGCCCCTCTACCGTCAGCTTTCTTAGTTGTGGTCTTTATCTCCACGTGGTTGTGAACTCAGCTAGCTTATATAACAGCAGCAATGAATAGAAGTCCATATCTTCTTTTACTTTGCCTTCTAACCTCTTGAAGAAAAATGGTTTTTAGGTCTCAAAGAAGCAAGAGCTAGTCTAGAGTGAGTGGCAGGGGATTGATATTTTGAGGATTTTGAGGCACGTTTCTGTCACCTCAAGTTTTATAAGGCCATGATAGACATAGCAGGAGTACTTTGGACACACAATTTTTAGGATTAGCTGGAGTTAATCTTTTAGATAGTTAGATCTTTTTCTAAATCTTCCAGCGAATACAAGCACTCACCTTTCCTTTCCACACTGTATTCGACTTGTTGGATCAGCTGTTGGGTTTGGTTCTGGATCCCAACAAGTCTGAAGGACAATAGGACATTGGCAGCTTCTTTTCCCCTGGTATATGTTGAATTGATCATTGTGTTCACCAGAGGGCTTAGAAGGAAGTGGTTGTTTTCACTTACTTCTGTGGCAAGGGAGGGAAGAAATAAGAAACACATACTCAGAAAATATTACGACTAGAAACAGAGGTTTATTAAAACACTTAGCAACAGGTAGGGCACAGATCTAGACCAGCCCAGTGGCCACTGGCTGTGTTGGTGGAACAATACGAAGGTGGGTCTGGAACACCCACTTTTCTTCACTTTAAACAAAAAAGGCAAGAAGATATGAAAGGAGTGATTGTTGAAAGGTCATGGTTTGTTGCAAGCACAATGGGACAATTGTGAGTCACCTCTCTTGAGATTTTGGGGAAGCATGCAGTTCAGAAGAATTTTGGGCACTGAAACAGACTTTTTAGTTCCTGTTCAACAACTCAAATCCGCTTCCTTGACTGCTAAAGACAAAATTAATTATTTAGTACAATGAATTGAACTCCAAAACCTTTATATAGATCCCCTATTCTAAGGACCTGCCAAGGGAAATGACAGTCCAGGAAGAAAAATTAGACTTTGCAGATTCTGTGCTTTAGCTAGTATGAATACAAGTCTGTCTTGTATGGTGTTGATCTCTTTTTATTGGCTACAGATCACCAGGAAGATGTAGCCACAGATGGTATCACTTACTCAACCTTGGACTTATTTGCAGCTCAAGTCCGGATGAAAGTCTCATGAAAGAGAAATTGTGCACCTGAGGGCTATACCAGACTTCAGGTAATCATTTGATTCAACACCCTCTCTTCATTATCCTTCATTTATGGATGAAGCTAAAGAAATCCAGAAACACTGGGTCATTCGACTACTAAGGGGTCAAACTGGACCTGAACCCGGTTTACCTTTCTCTTACTTTATTATTCTTTAATAAATCCACACAGTCAGTGGAGCCAACACCCAGAGGAAAGAGGATGGGAGTTCTACTCATGTCTCATGGGGAAGAGCTGAAGGGAGGACGATATACATCTTGGAATATCTAAACTCAATAATGACAAGAGTAAAGTCCTTATTATTTGAAAGAGATTATTATTTTTTTGTGTGTGTAGTTACAAGGGGTTAACCCAAAATTCATGATTGAACTTCAGAAAAATAGATACATCTCAAAACCAAAAGACAACTTTCCATGATCTTGAAAAGTTTCTGAGATCATAAACTTCCTGTTATTGGAAATTAATGAGAATAGACAGTATTGGTAGGGATGCTGTTCTAGAGAAAAATCTGAGCATAGGAACAGTGGTTAGGCAAGTCAACACAGAATCTATGATCCCTCTTAAAACAACATGCATCGTGGGACTTTCCTTACCATCTCCTGATGTCCTTTGCATCACTCAGAGTCCAACCATGTATGGAGCTGGAATAGGATCTTTTCTCAGGTAGCTCTACACAAAGTCCCCTGCGAACAACCTTCAGGAGACTTATTGCACTAGAGTAATTTTAGCTCAGAGTGTACTCACCACAGATCTCGCATAGCTGGCTTGGAATAACAGAAAGCAATAGAAACCCCAGGAGGGGCAGCTGGTGTGATTGTCTCATCTCTCCAACGGTGTACCAGCATGTTGAGGGCTTAGCTGACTATTTATTTGGTGATGAGCGGAGAGCTCCTCCTTCAGGTTGCCTCGGCCTCTTTCACTCAAACAAATATTGAGCAATATTAGGAGGTGTAGTATTTGTCCACGTAATATGATAAATCAGGAAGAAGACTTGAAAGGTATGGTTAGGGCAAATGAGGAAATAGTTTTCTTTTGTTTCCTGTCCTAAACCTTCAGAGTTCACACTTATTACTTGCCTTTAGCCCAATGTACATGAATTACTTGAATGTTTNCCTTCAGGAGACTTATTGCACTAGAGTAATTTTAGCTCAGAGTGTACTCACCACAGATCTCGCATAGCTGGCTTGGAATAACAGAAAGCAATAGAAACCCCAGGAGGGGCAGCTGGTGTGATTGTCTCATCTCTCCAACGGTGTACCAGCATGTTGAGGGCTTAGCTGACTACTTATTTGGTGATGAGCGGAGAGCTCCTCCTTCAGGTTGCCTCGGCCTCTTTCACCAAGCAAATATTGAGCAATATTAGGAGGTGTAGTATTTGTCCACGTAATATGATAAATCAGGAAGAAGACTTGAAAGGTATGGTTAGGGCAAATGAGGAAATAGTTTTCTTTTGTTTCCTGTCCTAAACCTTCAGAGTTCACACTTATTACTTGCCTTTAGCCCAATGTACATGAATTACTTGAATGTTTTCAATAATGTTTCTCTCTTTTCTGTTCTGCCTTGTTTATTTTATGTCTCTTGAGAGATCAGATTTGATGGAGCAAGTGCATAAAACATACAAAAATAAAAGTAGAAGTTATGTCTGAAATCGGAGCAGGCAGGATTGGGAAGCCTGGCAAATGGGAGAATCTTTGGCATAGTGGTTTTCGATTTAAGATTTTCTCCTAAGATAGATGCCCCGAGAGTTTACTAGCCCAGGAGAAAAACCAGAGAGACTTAGATTACATATGAATTTCCACCCTGCCAGGACAGTCACTACAGGCTACATGTGAGAAGTGTTCCCTATCGTTCTTCCAAGAACTGTCAGAGAATACTATCAGCCTGGGTAAGAACTTCATCACGACTTAATGACACATTATTTGCATTGTACCTCTGTGATGGTTAATTTTCTGTGTCAACTTGACTTGCAGAAGGTGCCCAGATTAAACATTATTTTTGGATGTGTCTGTGAGGGTGTTTCCAGATGAGACTAGCATTTGTACAGGTGGACTCAGTAGATTACCTTCCCCAATGTGGATAGATGTCATCCAATCCATGGACAGCCTGAATAGAAGAACAAAAGGTGGAGGAAGGAGGAATTTACCCCTTTTTGCTTTCTGCCACCCTGCTTGAACTGGGATCTTCAGTCACCTCGAGACTGGAATTTACACCACTGTCTCCCCTGGTTTTCAGGCTTTCAGCTTGGACTGAATTACAACACTGACTTTTCTGGGTCTCCAGCTTGCGAACAGCAGACTGTGGGACTTCTTAGCCTCCAAAATTGCATGAATCAGTTCCTCATAATAAATCTCTCTTCTAGTCTTTAAATAGTTTAAGTTC